CACCTACCACCATTACCACCACTACACACCTCCACCATTACACCCACCACACTATACACTAACACCTACCATTCACCCATCCCCACCATTACACCACCACTACACCTACCACCATTACACCACCACTATACACCTACCACCATTACACCACCACACACACCTACCACCATTACACCACCACTACACACCACCACCATTACACCACCATTATACCTACCACCATTACCACACACATCTACACATTACCACCACTACACACTACCACCATTACACCACCACTACACACCTACCACCATTACACCAGCACTACACACCTACCACCATCACACATACCACACCTCGCCCCACATCCTCATCCCAACACACATTTGCAGTAAACTAACTCGTCATCAAAGTCAAAATATATGAGAAGGAAATCACATACGAGCATTTATGATATATAAGTGTAAAGTAATCACTCGTGTAGGTAACTTTATATACTGTATATAGTACTGTATATATATTTGCTGATTTAGTTGAGTTAGTCACACAGCTGCTGGTTTCCCGCTTTCTATAAATGTGAGCCGACTTAAAGGTGACGTACCCAGGGAGGCGGTGTTGTGCTTTGGAGGAGGGAATGTTCCGTGAGGGATTCTTTTATTATTAGTAGTAGTATTGTTGTTATTAATACTGTAGTCATAGTTATTGTTTTCGTCTTTCCTCTCAAATATTTGTTGTTGTTTCTACGTTATAATGTTCTGTAGTGTGGTAAGGGAGGTGTTGACTCTGTTATTATCATTGTTACTGCTACTACTATGGCTACTATTACTTCTACTACTACTTCTACTACTTACACTAAAACTGTTATTATTGCTACAATACTCACGTTATCATAATTACTACTACTACTACTACTACACCACTACTACTACTACCACTACTTCTACTACTACTACTACTACCACTATTACCACTACTCTCTTTTCTCCATTCTCTCCCCTTTACCTCTCACTCTGCCTTCCTCCAAGGGACCCTCGCTCCCGCCCTCTCTTCCTCCCTGGCAGGCTGGTGCTCCCTCCCCCACCCTGGCAGGCTGGTGCTCACTCCCTCCGTCCCTGGCAGGCTGGTGCTCCCTCCCTCCCTGGCAGGCTGGACCCCCTCCCTCCCGTGGCAGGCTGGTGCTCCCTCCCGTGGCAGGCTGGTGCTCCCTCGCCTCCCTGGCAGGCTGGTGCTCCCTCGCTCCCTGGCAGGCTGGTGCTCTCCCCGTGACAGGCTGGTGCTCCCTCTCTGGCAGGCTGGTCCTCCTCCCCTCCTCCCTCCCTGGCAGGCCAGTGCCCCCGTGGCAGGCTGGTGCCCCCTCGCTCTGGCAGGCTGGTGCTCCCCCCGTGTGAGCTAGTGCTCCCTCGCTCTGGCAAGCTGGTGCTCCCCCTCGCTCCCTGGCAGGCTGGTGTTCCCTCCGTGGCAGGCTGGTCCTCCTCCTCCCTCGCTCCTGGCACGTGGTGCTCCCTCGCTCCCTGGCAGGCTGGTTTTCCCTCCGTGGCTGGTGCTCCCCTCCCTGGCAGGCTGGTCCTCCTCCCTCCCTCCCTCCCTGGCATACTGGTGCTCCCTCCCCTGGCAGACTGGTCTCCCTCCCTCCCTCCTCCTTCCTCTCTCTTGCTAGAGCTGGTCCTCCCTCCTCCCTCCCTCCCTCCTGGAGGCTGGTCATCCCTCCTCCCTTCCTGGCAGGCTGGTCACTCCCTCCTCCCTGGCATGCTGGTGCTCCCCCCTGGCGACGGTCCTCCTCCCTCCCTCCCTCTCTCCCTGGCAGGCTGGTGCTCCCTCGCTCCCTGGCATGCTGGTGCTCCCCTCCCTGGCAGACTGGTCCTCCCTTCCTCCCCCTCCCTCCCTCCTCTCTCCCTCTTCCCTCCTCCTGGCATGCTGGTGCTCCCTCCCTGCAAACTGGTCCTCCCTCCTCCTCCCTCCTCTCTCCCTCCCCTCCCTGGCATGCTGGTGCTCCCTCCCTGGCAGACTGGTCCTCCTCCCCTGACAGGCTGTGCTCCCTCCTGCCAAGCTGGTCCTCCTCCCTCCTCCCTCCCTCCTTCCCTCTCTCCCTGGCAGCTGGTGCTCCTCCCCTCCCCTGGCATGCTGGTGCTCCCTCCCTGGCAGACTGGTAATCCCTCCCACCCCTCCCTCCCTCCCTCCCTCCTCTCTCCCTCTCTCCCTCCTTCCCTCCCTCCCTGGCATGCTGGTGCTCACTCCCTGGCAGACTGGTCCTCCCCTCCCTCCCTCCTTGAAGCTGGTGCTCCCTCCCCCTGGCAGTGGTCCTCCCTCCCTCCCTCCATCCCTCCCTCTCTCCCTCCCTTCCCTCCCTCCCTGCATTTTGGTCCTCCCTCCCCTCCCTCCCTCCCTCCCTCCCCCCATGTGGCTGGTGCCCTCCCTCCCTCCCTCCCCCCATGCTTGGCTGGTGCTCCCTCCCCTCCCTCCCCGTGTGACTGGTGTCCCTCCCTCCTCCCTCCCCCACTGGCAGGCTGGTGCTCCCTCCTCCCTGGCAGACTGGTGCTCCTCCCTCCCTCCCTCCCCTCCCCCGTGGCAGGCTGGTCTCCCTCCTCCTCCCTCCCCTCCCCTCCCCCTGCTGAAACTAGTGCTCCCTCGCTCCTTGTTAGCTGTGTCCCTCCCCTCCTCCCTTTCTTCCTGGCAGGCTGGTGTCCCCTCCGTGGCAGGCTGGTGCTCCCTCCCTGGTAGCTGGTCCTCCCCTCCCTCCCTCGCTCCCTAGCATGCTGGTGCTCCCTCCCCTGGCAGACTGGTCCTCCCTCCCTCCCTCCTCCTCCCTCCCTCCTCCCTCTCTCCCTGGCAGGCTGGTGCTCCCTCCCTCCCCAGCATGCTGGTGCTTCCTCCCTGGCAGCTCCTCCTCCCTCCCTCCCTCCTCCCTCTTCTCCCTCCTTCCCCTCCCTCCCTGTGCTGGTGCTCTCCTCCCTGGCAGACTGGTCCTCCCTCCCTCCCTCCCTCCCTCCCTGCCACTTCTCCCTCGCTCCTCCCCTCCCTGGCAGACTGGTCCTCCTCCCTCCCCTCTCTCCCCTGGCATGCTGGTGCTCCCTCCTCCCTCTCCCCTGGCAGGCTGGTCTCCCTCCTCCCCTCCCTCCCCCCGTGGCAGGCTGGTCCTCCCTCCCTCCCTGGCAGGCTGGTGCTCCCTCCCCTCCCTCCTTCTCCCTGGCAGGCTGCTCCCTCCATCCCTGGCAGGCTGGTGCTCCTTCCTCCCTCCCTCCCTCCCCCCCCTGGCAGGCCTGGTGCTCCCCTCCCTCCCTGGCAGGCTGGTGCTCCTCCTCCCTCCCTCCCCACCCCTGGCAGGCTGGTCCTCCTCCCCTCCCTGGCAGGCTGGTGCTCCCTTCCCTCCCTCCTCCCCTCCCTGGTCAGGCTGGTGCTCCCTCCTCCCTGGCATGCTGGTGCTCCTTTCCCTCCTCCTCCTCCCCCGTGCAGGCTGGTCTCCCTCCCTCCCCTGGCAGGCTGGTGCTCCCTCCCTGGCAGGCTGGTCCTCCTCCCCTCCCCCCCCTGGCAGGCTGGTGCTCCCTCCCTCCCTGGCATGCTGGTGCTCCCTCCTTGACTGGTCCTCCCCTCCTCTCCCTCCTCCCTCTCTCCCCGGCAGGCTGGTGCTCCCTCTCCCTCCTACCTGGCAGACTGGTCCTCCCTCATCCCTCCCCTCCCTGGCAGGCTGGTGCTCCTCCCTCCCTCTCTCCCTCCCTGGCATTCTGGTGCTCCCTCTCTCCCTCCCTCCCCTGGCAGACTGGTCCTCCCTCATCCCCTCCCTCCCTGGCAGGCTGGTCTCCTCTCCCCCCCATCCTCCCTCCCTCCCTCCCTGGCATGCTGGTGCTCCCTCTCCCCCCTTCCTCCTCCCCTCCCCTCCCTACCTTCATCTCTCCCCTCCTTGTAACCTTCCTCCCTACATTCCACAATAAACGGAGAGGAAGGAGAAGGAGGAAAAAGGATAGGAAGAAGAGAGGAGGAAGTTATCAAGTAACCCCCACACCACAGGTCCGCCACCCCTCCTCCCTCACCTGAGGTACTTGATTGAAGAGTTCACATAGTATACACTACACTTGTGAGTGCGTGGTGAGTGCGTGCGTGTATGAGTGCTTGTGGCTACAACCACAAACAGGCACATACCAGCGCATACACATAATATATGTTACGCACTACTATTGCTACTACTACTATGCTGTCACTCGGAATCGAGTATGACGATCATCCATCTATGATACAATGATATGAGTTATTGGGATGTCACACACACACACACACACACACACACACACACACACACACACACACCTCCTTCGCTGCTCCATATAAAGAGAGGGTTGGAGAAAATAGGGTCATTATTTCTCCTCTCAAGGAACTTCAAAAGGCTACTTCAAGGAACATGTCAGACTTCCGAAGGGTAAGGCCTTTCAAGGAACTGTCCCATTTAGAAGACGTCCACTGTGGGGCTATTAAGCCGTCTGGACACACTATGGCGGACCTACTGTATACTGAAACTTAAAAGGAAACCGGAACAATGCTGCAGGGAAATATATTTTAAAGGTAAAACTTCCTTACAACTGAACATTAAAAATACTTTGTATTTGCACCTGAAGTCTTCCGTTTTCTATTTAATAAAGTATTGGTGCCAGGTACTGTATCTGTACCGGTTCTTGTATCTTTGCCTGTAATGTTTTAATCATAGGCTCGCTACCTGTATCTGTATCTGCTCTTTAAATAATACGTAAAAAAAATACAATCAAAGTAAGGTATCCCATCTACTGTACTCCACGACCTTTAAGATAAAACACGTAACACACATCACCTACTGATGTCTTACAGAAACAACAAGTGTAAACAATGGCTTGTAAGCAATAGGTATCACCAAACGTTGTACCCACAGCAGAAAGTGTTTACCTGGCAGCAAAACACATCAATGATATTTATACTATGAGATGCACGACGCGACGCCTTAACTGTACACCCCGAGAGAGAGTTTCACAAGAAGTCGTCCGTCAGGTCTTTATAAAATGACGGATGGATTCGTAGGAGAGCGGACTGACACAGCCAGGCCTAAAATCCTCTGTCAGGATTGGTAAACTGACGGACGAACACTGAAGACGAGCAGAGGACCATCAGAACACGGGTCCTCTGGTGTGTGTGTGGACCGGGCAAGATACTGACTTATTAATCACGTTATAAGTTTGGGCGTAACTTGTCGGCAGGAGATGGGAAGGGAAGGAGTGGTGATAGATGAGGGTGGGAGGAGGATGATAGATGAGTGGGAGAGGAGAAGAAGTGAGGATAGTCAGGTGAAGAAGAGGGGTTAGAAGTTGAGAAGGGGAAAGAATGGGGGAAAGGACAGGAAGAATGGAAGAGAAAGGGGTATAGTATAAGGGTTTACAGTCCAGAATACTGCTTTCCTATTCCCTCACCCTCATCCTCATCCACACCCATCTCTTCTCCTCCTCCTCTTATGATTCCTTTCTTTCTTTTCTTCCTGTTCTATTTTCGAACATCAGCCTTCATCTTTTATCCTACTCTCTCTCTCTCTCTCTCTCTCTCTCTCTCTCTCTCTCTCTCTCTCTCCTCTTCTCCCCTTTTCTCCTCTCACCCTCTCCTTTCTCCCATCTCTTCCTCTCCTTCCTTTATATCACCGTTTTCTCAATACACTTTCTTTCTCTTTTTCTTCCTCCTTCCTGTTCTGTCTCTCCCTCTTCCTCCTTACTGTCTCCTCTCCCCCTTACCGTCCCTCTCCTTCTACCTCTCTCCCTCACATACGTCTTACAGGTCATTGGATTTCTGAAAGACGTGTTGCCTTCTCTTTAGTTTTATGCACGTGTTTAAAAATCCATCGAGGACCTCTCTCTTCCCTCGCCTTTCTCCTCACTCTCCTCAACTCCTTCCCCTCACTCTCCTCAACTCCATCCCTCTCCCCTTCCCTTTCCTCTCCTAAACTCCTTCCTTCTCCACTTCCCCTCACTTCCCTCAACTCCTTCCCTCACTTCCCTCAACTCCTTCTTCTCACCCCTTCTCATTCTCTTCCTCTCCCTTAAGGTCTTTCCCCCTTCCATCCCTTCACCTCCCTTCCCTTCCTTTTCCAACTCTCTTCCCCTACCACCTCCTCCGTGCCTGCCGTTTCAATGGTCATATTCTTAATGCATAACCAAGAGGGAAGAGGCTCAGTTGTTTCCCCAGGCAGGCACCAGTCTTTGATCTGCTCCTCATTCTGTCTGCCCCTTGTGTATGTCTGCCTGCCTGTCCTAGTGGTTGTCTCCTTAAGATTACCTCCCACTGGAGTTATACACATTCTATCTCTTTCTGTGACTGCCAATGTGTGTGTGTGTGTGTGTGTGTGTGTGTGTGTGTGTGTGTGTGTGTGTGTGTGTGTGTGTGTGTGTGTGTGTGTGTGTGTGTGTGTGTGTGTGTGTGTGTGTGTGTGTACCACGGATCTTGGCATGGACTGACAAAGAGATAAGTCAACCACTACAAGGACATCCTATCATTCTCTCACTCCTCTCCCCGATCCTCTCACAGGATACCACCCTCTCCAGCGCCGCCCACCTCCGTCAACACCGCCCTTAAGATGACCATCCAGGGACGCTTCAGGGCTCAAGGCCACCAGGACCTGAGGTGTGGGGTCGTTGTGATAACAGTTTGTTGAATTATTATTATTATTATTATTATTATTATTATTATTATTATTATTATTATTATTATTATTATTATTATTATTATTATTATTATTATTATTTTATTATTATTATTATTATTATTATTATTATTATTTATAAGTTTTCACTTGTTGCCCACTCAACGAATCGAAGTTGAAACTATGTTTCCGGTAGTTTTAATGTGTTATGAACAAGACCTTCATTTGTGGCACAGATCAATAGTTTCTGAGAACCCCCCCTCTCCCATCTCAGAATCTAGAGATTTGCTATATAAATCAAGGTAAATAAGGCTCAAACACATCATCAAAAATCATCGGAAAAACAGTTTTGAATCAAACCTAACCTAACCTAACCTAACCTAACCTAACCTAAGCTGGGGGCCCCACAGTCGTTCGAGGTTCTTGGAGTGTACCGCCAATTCCGATCATGACGAAAATGATTCCGGGACTTAGAAACCTTCCATATCAAGATAGGTTAAAGAAACTAAACTTACATTCCTTTTAAAGAAAGAGGAGATATGATAGAAGTATTTAAGTGGATGAAAGGAATCAATAAAGGGGATATAGGTAAGTTCTTATAATGACTTGGCATGATAGACCCAGAAAGACTGATTTGGATAAGTTTTAGGTTTAGGAGGGAGATAGGAAGAACTGGTTCACAAATAGGTTGGTGGACGAGTGGAACAAGTTTAGCAACATTGTAGTAAGCAACGCTGGAAAGTTTCAAAAGGAGGCTAGATAGATTCATGGATGATAGAGAGTGGTAGTAACTCTCGACAGGAGCTGCCATGCACAGGCCAACCGGCCTGTGCAGACTCCTTATTTTCTTATGTTCTTATAATAAAATGTTGAATAGCTTGCTTATTCGTAATTTGCGCTAGAAATCCATAAAAAGAAAAGTGTCTGAGAATTATCAAAACTACTGATTGTAACTATAAAGTTTACGAAACTTGTTTAACAACAACAAGTGAAATAATACTCTATTATTATTTATTATTAATATTATTATTATTATTATTATTATTATTATTTATTAATATTATTATTATTATTATTATATCGAGGACTGACCTCCTTCTTGCAAGACTTCCTGCGAACACTTAGTACGTATCATTGGCCTCACTATAGTGCCTCACCACCCCTCTCCTCCCCTTCCCGGAAACACCCCCCACCCATGGTAACAATCACTCTCCCCCAATCACCTTGTATGATGCTTATATTTCCTTTCCACAACGATTTTCTCTCAGTACTATCCTCCCCTCAAAATAAGTTTCCTCAGCTTCCTGTCTTCTCACTAAAAGTAACCTCTCCCCAACCCATCTTTCCTCCCCAAACTCCCTTCTCCCACCATCCTATCCTATGCCCTGCCCCTCCCCCAACACTGCACAACCTCCTCCCATCTTCCGTCCAATCTGTCTTGTCCTTCAGTTACCTTCCTAATCCTGTACTGCCCTCCTACCCCTCCCTGTACTGCCCTCCCTACCCTCCCCCTGTACTACCCTCCCTACCCTCCCTGTACTGCCCACCTCCCTGCACCCCTCCCTACCCTCCCTGTACTGCCCTCCCCTACCCCTCCTGTACTACTCCCTCCCCTACCCCTCCCCTGTACTGCCCTCCCCTACCTCCCCTGTACTGCCCCCACCTCCCCTACTCACCCTCCCTGTACTACCCTCCCTGTACTGCCCTCCCTACCCTCCCCTGTACTGCCCCCTCCCCACCCTCCCCTGTACTACCCTCCTGTACTACCCTCCCTGTACTGCCTCCCCTCCCTGTACTTACCCTCCCTGTACTACCCTCCCCACCTCCCTGCACCCCTCCCACCCTCCCCTGTACTACCCTCCTCACCTCCCCTGTACTGCCCTCCCTACCCTCCCCCCACCTCCCCCTACCCTCCCCTGTACTACCTCCTGTACTGCCCTCCCCACCTCCCTGTACGCCCTCCCTACTCCTCCCCGTACTGCCCTCCCCTACTCCTCCCCAGCCTCCCCCTTACCCTCCCTGTACTACCCTCCCTACTCCTCCCTGTACTGCCCTCCCCACCCTCCCTGTACTACCCTCCCACCCTTCCTGTACTACCTCCTACTCTCCCTGTACTACCCTCCCCTACTCCCTCCCCTGTACTGCCCTCCCTACCCTCCCTGTACTACCCTCCCTACTCCCTCGTACTACCTCCCTAACCTCCCTGTACTAACCCTCCTGCACCACTCCTCCCCCACCCTCCCCTACCCTCCCTGTACTACCCTCCCTACCCTCCTGTACTACTCCTCCCCTACCCTCCTGTACCACCCTCCCTGTACCACCCTCCCCCTACCCTCCCCTACCCTCCCTTCCCCCACCCCACATGTACTACCTCCTGTACTACTCCTCCTGTACTACCCTCCCTGTACTACCTTCCTGTACTACCCTCCCACTACCTCACTTCCCTCCCTCCCTGTACTACCCTCCCACCACCCTCCCTGTACCATCTTCCCTGCACACCTCCCTGTACTCACCTCCTGTACCACCCTCCCTGTACTACCCTCCCTGTACTCCCTCTCCCTACTCCTTCCTGTACCACCTCCCCACCCTCCCTGTACTACCTCTCCTGTACTACTCCTCCTGTACTACCCTCCCTGTACTACCCTCCCTACCCTCCCCTGTACTACCTCCCTACCCTCCCCTGTACTACCCTCCCTGTACTACCTCCCCTGCCTACCCTTCCCTGTACACCCTCCCCACCACCCCCACTGCACACCCTCCCTGTACTACCCCTACCATCTTCCTGTACTACTCCCCTCCCTGTACTACCCTCCTGTACTACTCCCTCCTCCCTGCACTACCCTCCCTACCCTCCCTACCTCTCCCCACCCTCCTGTACTACCCTCCCCTACCCTCCTGTACTTCCCTCCTGCACTTCCCTCCTCCCCTACCCTCCTGTACCCCCACCCTCCCTGTACTACCCTCCTGTTACTCTCCCTCCCTCTCCTCCCTGTACTACCCTCCCCTACCCTCCTGTACTACCCTCCCCACCCTCCCTGTACTACCCTCCCTGTTACCTCTGCACACCCTCCCACACCCTCCCCTGTACTACCTCCCTGTACTACCCTCCCCTACCCTCCTGTACTACCTCCCTGTCTCACCTCCCTACTACCTTCCCCTGTACCACCCTCCTAACTTCACTGCCATTCCTCTTCCCCTATCTCCTTCATTCCCTACCTTCCCTCCCTTCTCATCTCCTCACTCCTTCCCATATCACCTATTCCTTCTCCTCCTTCCCTCACCACCTCTTCTCACCTTCTCTATATCCTACCCACCCCATCATCACCTCACCCCTTCCCCCATAAGCACCCCTGTCTTCTCCAACCTCTTATCCGTCTCCACTTCCTCCCTCCTCTTCATCACCTCTCCCTTTTCTCATCCGCCATCCCTTTCTTGACTACCACCTCATACTCCCCCTTCCTCTCATTCCCCCTCCTCACCCCTGAAGCACCACTACCTAACCTTCCCTTCCCACCATACTCTTGACTACCTTCCCCATCCACCACCACGCAGCCCCGTCCCCCATCACCACCCCACCTCCACCATACTCACCACCTCCCCAACCACCACCATTCAGCTCGTCCCCCACTCCTCCCCATCACCCACCTCCACCATACTCACCACTCTCCCAACCATTCAGCCCTCGTCCTCTCCTCCCTCCTCCCCCACAACGCCACTACTTAACTTCTTAATGACAGTAATTGTTTCTTGACCGTTAATGGCACTTTGCTCTAATTTTTTTTCTTTTTTCCACGCACAAAGAGAGAGAGGCGATGCATTACGGCAGTATTACTGCCTCTACTACCAGCCCTGATGGTGGTAGATGGTGGTAGATGGTGGTGGATGGTGGTGGATGGTGATAAATGGTGGTAAATGGTGGTGGAGTGTTGATGGATGGTGGAAGTGTGGTGGATGCTGGAAGTGTTGATGGATGGTGGAAGTGTGGTGGGTAGTGGTAGTGGTTGATGGTGGTAGTGTGGTGGATTGTGGTAATGGTGGATGGTGGTAGTGGTGAATGGTGGTATGGTAACAGATCTCTGTGGACTAAACAATAAGACCTTCCTAAGCCACATTCACTAATGATGACGCAGCTGAACAAACTAATAATCATTTTGCAACTATTTACCAGACGCTCCCCCAGGGACACACCCTGCCCTGCGGCTTACTTACATACCAGTCCCTCTCCTACTGACTAAGTGGAACAATTTGAAGTAGCAAGACGATTGGACAAACTCAGGATTAAATGCTCCGCCACCCCCATTGACTTACCACTGAAACTACAAGGAGTTCTCCCCGGAACTAACTAAACCCCTCTGCGCCATTATCAAAGCTTCTCTCAGTCAAGCAAGATGCCCAGCTGACTGGAAGACCTCATATGTGTCAACGAGCTCACAATCAATCGTCAAATGTATTTCGACCCATTGCCCAGATTAATCTGCTAAAGTTTCGTTTTAACTGGACTTTCTGGTAGGCGCTAGAGATCCTCAGCAATTTGGCAATATGAAAACTTCCTCCACCACTCAGTCTTGTCAGCTTTCTTGACTACATATAACACCATCTGGAAAAATGCTAGCCATCTGTAATAGTTGCCTTCAGTGACTTCACCAAGGCATTCGACTTAGTCACCACAATTTAATCATCAACAAAGTTTTTAACCTCGGGTTTCTCAGAAGCCTTACACCATGGCATACAGACCTCCCATAGTAACCGACGCCAAGCCGAACGCTTATGAAGGGCTGTCTCCACCTTTCAGTCACTCACCTGTGGCGTCCCCCAAGGCACCAAGATGGGACCACTCTGGTTCCTTATTCTTATCAATGATGCCCTAAAAGAAACTTCCGTTCGCTGGAAATACTGTATGTCGGCCACTCCACCATTGGGATGAGTGTGAGCAACTTGGCTCCCGATTATCACCAGCAGACACCATCACCAGCCGACACCATCACCAGCCGACACCATCACCAGCAGACACCATCACCAGCCGACACCATCACCAGTAAACACTATCCCTCACCATCACCTGCAGCCACCATCACCAGCAGATACTATCACCAGCAGAGATCATCACCAGCAGACACCATCACTAACAGACACTATCATCAGCAGACACTATCACCAGCAGACACCATCACCAGCAGACACCATCATCAGCAGACACTATCACCAGCAGACACCATCACCAGCAGACACCATCACCAGCAGACACTATTACCAGCAGACACTATCACCAGCAGACACCATCATCAACAAACACCATCACCAG